AAACATTAGCTATTCTTTGGGTTTTTGACATGGGCCTTCTTGCTCGTAGGATTTGCACGACCTATAGGTTTGCTTGAAAAATTTTTCCTAAATTATTTGGGGTTCCCAGTATGGGGGTTTTCCGTTTTGTTATTTTGAGTTTTCCCTTTGAATTTCCAGTCACAGAACCATCCGATAATTGAAGTTTCTTATAATATATTTTTAGAACCCTTTTTCAAAACCATACCTAACCCGACATTTCGTTCCTCCGTTAAATTGGGGGGTGGGGTTTAAAATCTTCTCCCCGGTACAAAATTTTTTCTTAGGTTTCAAAAAAGGGAATAACCGCCCTCTCTAGAATTTTGGAATTATACGAGTATACAAAGGGGCCTATAGTTGTGACTCAGCCTATATTTTTCTTAAAGATAGGGTAATCTGGCCCCCTTAAAACCCTCGGTACGGTATTAGTGGTGATGATAGATTTATTATTTTAGAAATGGGATTGAAGTTCAAAAGCACCTCTTTAGGAACTTAGACGGGATGTTATCAGGGCCTGTGCTCTTTGTTGGGGTTTAAAATGCTTAGTTCTTTTGAATAAGTCATGAGAAACACTTCTATTGACAAAAAGTTTGGGGTTACCCCTTTATTGGTTTAGTATGCTGAAACTTTTCGTCTGTGTTAAAGGTATTTGAGCAGCTGGTAGTTTCTTCTAGTGTTGATGCAACGATGTTTTTGTGGATTAAAGCATTTTCCCCTTAGATGTTTCTGGCTACCCATTATCGATGTGGTACTTTTTTGACCTATCTCTGGTTTTGGCTATACCCAAAATGTTTTTGTTGTTGCCCGGTTTTTGGGGTTATGTTTACTCTTCAATTTTTTTGGCATAGTGCTTTGCCTTTGCTCCTTTTATAAGTCTCTGTACTGTTCCCTCACCCTTTGGAATTCAAGTGCTGCAATATCCCGTCTGTTTGCTTTAAACTTTTTTTGCGCTGGTTCTGAATTTCAATCTAATATTCAGTAGTCATCCAGGGTTCAGTTCTTGTTTTAATCCCAAACCCCTTGAACGGTGCAATATGTAAGGATGGTACTGAACATTGTTTTAATTTTTCCCGGCATCGTTTAGTCGTTTTCAATTATCTCTGTCCGTCACAATTTTGTAGCCCATTTTCCAGTGTTTCTTTACTGTGTTTCTAGTTGATCATTTTATTGTCCTGTGTAGGCCTTTTCCCATCCCCCGTGTTTTCCCGGTGCAGTAAATGATGAAAATGTCCTAAAACTGTGGGAATGACGCCGACTGACTATGTTTCAGTGCGGTTCAAAATATGTGGTCAATTAGGGTGGTGAGAAATGTGTGATCCGGGTTGGTTTATTAATTAGTTTAATGTAACTATTTTTAAACCCAGAATTTGCTTTATTTTGCATGCCCCTTATTTTTGCCTTTTAAAAAAGATATTGAAGTCGCCCCTATTATTGTCCGCAATTATTTTCAATCCCGGGCGTACTCTGGAAAAGTTTCTAAGAACTGGTCCTGGGTAGGAGGGGGTAAAATGTTCTACTAAATGGGTTTAGCTTGGGGAAACAGCACTTCAAACCCTAGAATCTCCGTTTTTTGTTATTTAAATGGTCTTGGGTTGTAAGCCCCAAATCATTTTAAAATAGGGAACTCACCACTCTTTCTGTTTTTATTAAGTTTTATTTGTAACCTTCTATTTTGACCTTGTGTCAGTCCCCCTTCACAACCCGGGGTTAGAGATGGTTATAACTGCGCCCTAATTTTTTTAGTGAAAATTTTAATCTTGCCAATTTTGGAAAACGTGATTTGATTGCATGAATTAAGTGAAGGCCTGTTTTCATAAAAAATTTATAATCATCAATATATGGCAAAGGGTCATTGTTTTAAAATTTTGGTAAAATCAATGTCTATTGCTAAAGGGTAACTGTGCCAAAAATGCATTTTGGTTACACACAAAATGAATTCTGGCACCGTTGCTATAATTGTACATACATCCATCATGCACCCACCCCTTGCACATTTTACATAAGGTGCCTTTTCTGTTTTTCATGTGTACTTTAGTACAGTGTATGCACCTGTTTGGTAGTGTTTGAGATAATAATGGCTGTATTGTCTCACATTGACCTATGTATGCATTACATATGGAGTTAAGGTTATCATTCCTAGCTACTAGACCGTCATTTATCTGTCTGCTTTGCTTCTGCACAATAGTTTGAGGTCCTGGATTAATTTGGATATCACCACTTAAGAGCGCTACATTAACCCTTTGAGGGTCGACAGGCCCTCTCCGAAACTCGTTCTCAGGGTCGGCCAAATTTAAAAAAAAAAAAAATTATTTTCTCTTATGAAAAGATAGAGAATCTTTTCCCGATCATAAAGACACCAAAAGTTTGAAATTTGATAGAAAACTTACGGAATTATGCTCTCGCAAAGTTAGCGGTCTCGGCGATGTTTACGCATCGGCGTTTTTGCCCACTTTGAGCCCCATTTTCGGCCAATTTCACTGTACTAGTCGACAAAAAACATGAATATTTCGCTAGAACTCCATTTTTTCTATCGAATGGGTGCAAGAAACCACCCATTTATGAAATTCAACTATCCAGTACAGTGGTCAGAATTTAGCAATTTTGCCAATTTCACACAAATTTCAAAAGATGCCAATTTTCGAATAGGGTCCAGAATAAACAAGAAAGACATTCATGGCACTAAAATGACATTTCCTCTAGTCATTAGTCACGTCTCAAGGCCCCTCTTATATTCTTTTGCTTTCCACTTTGAATTTTTATTTTCACAAAAAATATAAGATTTACTGTTATGCAGACTACTGCATTAGTGTAAAAAATGGTATAAATATTATTGGTGCACTTGTGAAAGAATATTAGACTCACCAGTTGATGTGTATTGCACGCTTGGCACGATTTGTTTACTTTTGAAGTTTGGTAAAAATCGAACATTTCTGCTACTTTGAGCTCAATTTCAAGGCACCTTTCATTGTTAAAACCAGTCAAAATCATCTCAATTTCTGTAATATGTCTTCCATTCTATAAAATGAGACCAAGAAAACTAGAATACAACAATAAATACCATATGAAAATACACTGCAAAGTCGCTGATTTATTAAAAAAAAATGGTCAAAGTTTTTTTTTTTCTCATTATGCACTGTGTGCTGCAGGATTTTTTTTAGACTGTGCACACTGACCACATAGACCCATTCTTTCATATGAAGGCCTACCAGCTTTCTCCCACTAGATTTGAGGCCGCTAGAATTTGAGTACTAGTACGTCAAAAACCCCTACGCGTAAGACGTACTAGTATGACCAAAACCCTCAAAGGGTTAAGAGCTGTGTGCCACTGTTTTTGTTTGGGTATGTGGTGTTGCCATACCTTGCAGCGATAGTGACATTTACTTTTCTGGTAGGATGGCAACTGTTAGGCTTTTACTGTCCAGGGCGCTGTTACTCCATTCACCTTTTCCAGCCCCCATGACTGATTTCTTTCTTCATGGAATTGAAGAAGAAAGATAAATATAATTATGGCAGCCTGTACCCCCTAATGCCTGCCATTTTCACTCTTTGCTCTTTTACTCATATACAGTAATATTTATTTCTCTTTTCCAGTCACCTAGTACACTTAGTATCTGCTTTAGCAATCACCACTGAATTACTAGTAAATTTTCTTCAAGACCCTCTTCACTGCTGACTTTTCCCTTAACTTCACAGGCCCCTTTCAGTTAACCCCTTATTACATACTCCCCTTCCCACCTCACTTCACAGTCTGGCTTCACCTATTAACTTCTAGCTCTTTTCCGTTCTGGTAGACCAGAAAGGTTTAATCAATGGTTTTATCCTTCCAAATCCTCCTCAATTCCATTTATCAGGGGTTGTGTCGTGTTGTTGACTGCCTGACCTGGTCTGCTGACTCGGCCATTTTTAAAACACTGAGGGAGGTAAACGCCACCTACAACCTGACTTTCCTTGAGTTTATAGATATATTTGGCATTTTCTGCTATGATTCTCTCACTGTACACTGGTCAGTTGAATATAGGTCAGCTACTAAAACATTAACCTTGACTGTTTACCTATTTACTTCTTTCCTACGACTGGCACCGAGGGATAACCGTCCTATAACCTTGGAGTTTTGTACTGTTAATTTGACGATGTCTCCTGTGTTTCCCTCTCGTTAGCACTGGTACAGGTGATATGATGGTGGTACAGATATGATGCTACAGTCATCAGATGAACGTCAGTAAAGATGAAAATTTCACTTCACTAGTTGTACGTCTGGCAGTAGCTGGTGTTTGGATGCCGGTCAGCCATGTTTAAATGCTCAATTCTTTCCCTTGTTTGGCACTGAAGAAAAAAGTCCTACAGACCTGTCATTTCCTTGGAGTTTTGTTGATCAGGTTTTCTGCCATGTTGTCTTCCCGTTGAACACTGGTGCAGTTGATATGGAGGTCAGTTATTTCATTGTAGTGGAAAACGTCTCATGTCTGGTTCACGTCTGGCAGCAGGTCTGGTACTTGAATGCCGGTCCCTCTTTTGTCATATTTATTCCAGCAGGCATGCGTGAGCGTGTTTGATAGGAGTGAATGGAGACAAATGGTTTTTAATACTTGACGTGCTGTTGGAGTGTGAGCAAAGTAATATTTATGAAGGGGTTCAGGGAAACGGCAGGCCGGACTTGAGTCCTGGAGATGGGAAGTACAGTGCCTGCACTCTGAAGGAGGGGTGTTAATGTTGCAGTTTAAAAACTGTAGTGTAAAGCACCCTTCTGGCAAGACAGTGATGGAGTGAATGATGGTGAAAGTTTTTCTTTTTCGGGCCACCCTGCCTTGGTGGGATTCGGCCAGTGTGATAATAAAAAAATAATAGTCCATTTCGTTGTCATCACCGTCAGTTTTTATGTCACTATAGGTTCCTTGCATGTTGTTGCAGCAGTACAAATATAATGGATACAGTGTGTAGTGTAAATGAATATTTTGTTTGCTGATCATTGTGTTTGCTTTCAGTATGAGGCTTCACCAACACCAACGGTAACGTGTGCTGTTTATAGCGGAAATGGTGATGCCATATTAGCATCATACAATGACGACGATATTTACTTATTTGATACGTCACTCTCAGAGGGTGCTGATGCTGTCCATAGGTACTCCGGCCACCGCAACAATGCTACAGGTACAGTATATTACTGAATGGGAACAGAATTACTGTTACCAGTTTGCTTCCAACAATATGAATTTTGGTTTGGTTTTTACATATAATTTTTCTTTAAATGATTTCTGAATATCAGACCAGTTTCCAAAGATCAGACCAGTGTTTCATTGACTTCATTTTTGTTTTCGTGATATCAGTGTTTGCTACAAAATTGACTGATATGACCACATTCAAGTCTCTCTCATTTTATGCAATAGTTGCATTCCTGATCAATAGTGTAAGGGGGAGTGAACTTATTATAATATAGGGATTCATTCTGAAATTGCAAATTCCACATATCTTAACTGTTTACCAAAAAAATATGTTGAACATACATGCATCGAAAATATGAATAATCCAGATGTGCTGAATAACCATAAATGCAGTTAGTTAAAAATCAAAAGAAAAATTAAATTCAAGATAAACCTGTTTATAGTAATGCTTTGAGTTTTTTTTTTTTTTGCTGTGTCCCACCGAGGCAGGGTGACCCAAAAAGAAAGAAAATCTCCAAAAAGAAAATTCTTTCATCATTCAAAACTTTCACCTTACTCACACATAATCACTTTTTCTGCAGAGGTGCCCAGAACACAACAGTTTAGAAGCATATATGTATAAAGATACACAACATATCCCTCCAAACTGCCAATATCCCAAACCCCTCCTTTAGAGTGCAGGCATTGTACTTCCCATTTTCAGTACTCAAGTCTGGCTATATAAAAATAACCGGTTTCCCTGAATAAAATATCTAGCTGGGTGTACATTGCTTTTTGATGCAAAACACTTCAATTGAAAACCAACCTAAGGCTTTTGTTAACCCCTTCTCTGTCCATGCTGTCATACTACTAGTTTGTGGTCGCTGTCCATGCCTTAGTACTGTGCCATGAGCTCCACTCACTCAGATAAGCTGTGAGCAGTAAATTTGGGCCTAGATATAAGAGAATGGGTTTATGCAGTAAGTGTGCACCAATAAAGAAAATCCTGCAGCACGCAGTGCATATTGAGACAAAAACTTGCAATGGTCTTTTTGGTTGTATTCTTTGTTTCTTGGTCTCATTTGATAGAATGGAAGATATATTACAGAAATAGATGATTTTGATTTGTTTCAGGACTGAAAATAGCTTGGAATTGAGCTCAAAGTACCAGAAATGTTAAATTTTTGCCAATATTCAAGAGTAAACAAATCATGTCACTCCTCCAATATGTACATGTCCAGTTGGTGGGTCTAATGTGCATTCACAAATGCGCTGATATTATTTATACAGTGGACCCCGGATATCGGTTGATGCGGATATCGGCCAAATTGGATTTCGACCACATTTTTGGCCAAAATTCTATCCTGGATTTCGACTGGCAACTCAGAAATCGGCCGTATTGGGTGTGTTCGCTTGCCACTCCGCCGCATTTGAGTGTCGGTCTGGCTGTGTTGCTCACTCACCCAGACACACAGCCAGACTGACACTCAGATGCGGCGGAGTGGCTACAGTCACTGTATACGTGGTCTGGGACATGACTATGATGGAGAAGGAACAGAAGAGGCACAGAAAAGAGCAGCAGATGAGGGGCCAGGAGGAGGGAGCACGTAAAGTCGAAGAACTCTGAGAGATGCAACCCAAACCCCTTAATCAGCTGGCTCTAACCTGGGCCAGTCCCCACTTTACTATCACCAACACTAATTGCCCACCCTTCCCTTAACTGCCTACAGTCTTATCCTTGGCCTCTTCCCTGGTAGTGGTAAATACACCAACCCCAGTTCTACCTCTCCCACACATGTCGGATGAGCAACATGCAGAAACAGTAAACAACACAAACCAGTGTATGCTAAGGAAAAAGTAACCTAAAGTGTGGTACACAAATACAGATGAATTATCTAACAAGTAATGTTGAAAGAATGTATAACTGAGGTAATCTGAGCATTGTAGTTATCATGCTGGTGAAGGCTGCAAAAATATCAGATGCCATATTTCCAGCATTATACAGGTCCTCCATCACAAATCCTGCAGTCAGACATCCAGTTCCGTCAGTTATTCGGCACTAATTTTGGCTAGCATAATTTCAAATTTCCTGAGTCACCACACCAACCTGCTGGTACTGTTTGGCAGTGCTTCTTGCTGCATAAGTCATTCCAATTTCTTTTTCTCCATTTATTGTTATAACCCGCTGACTTTTAGACCTAGCTAGGGTTCCAATGAATAAAAGAAATGATTCTCATTGTGTAAAACACATACACAGTACATCGTCCATAAAAGATAAAGTGGCTTTGAAGCCACTGTCGGTTGCCATGAGCTCAGTCTTGTGATGCAGAGGAATACAGTGGACCCCCTCATAGCGATTTTAATCCGTGCAAGAGGGCTCATTGTTATGCGAAATGATCGGTATGCGAATGAATTTTCCCCATAAGAAATAATGGAAATCAAATTAGTCCGTGCAAGACACCCAAAAGTATGAAAAAAAAAATTTTACCACATGAAATATACATTTTCCTACACACAAAGAGAAGGATACATGCACAATAGTAGAGTAGTACATGCACAATATATATTGTGCATGTACTACTCTACTAAATGAAGAATAAATGACACTTACCTTTATTGAAGATGCAGCAATGACTGATGAGACAGTGTGTCCTGGGAGTGCCTTTTCCTCCTGAGTACTGTAGGTCCTGTTTGGCATTTTCTTCCAGAACAGGCCTTATCACACTGTGTATGCCACGACGATTCTTAAATCTCTCAAACCAACCTTTGCTGGCTTTAAATTCACCAATATGAGCACTAGTTCCAGGCATTTTTCCCTGTTCACCTGGGTGTTAGTCGACTGGTGTGGGTTGCATCCTTGGAGACAAGATTAAGGGCCCCAATGGAAATAAGTTAGACAGTCTTCGATGACACTGACTTTTTTGGGTTATCCTGGGTGGCAAATCCTCTGGGGTTAATTGTTTCTTGGTATTCTCAATAAGCCACACCAACAACGGTGCTACAGCAGCAGCAGCAGCTGACAGTGATACAGCAGCAGCAGACGATGCTACAGCAGCAGCAGACGGTACTACAGCAGCAGCAGACGGTACTACAGCAGCAGCAGCAGCAGCTGATGGTGGTACAACAGCAGCAGCAGCAGCTGACAGTGCTACAGCAGCAGCAGACGATGCTACAGCAGCAGCAGACGGTACTACAGGAGCAGCAGATGGTACTACAGCAGCAGCAGCTGACGGTGGTACAACAGCAGCAGCAGCTGACAGTGCTACAGCAGCAGCTGACAGTGCTACAGCAGCAGCTGACAGTGCTACAGCAGCAGCTGACAGTGCTACAGCAGCAGCAGACGATGCTACAGCAGCAGCAGACGGTACTACAGCAGCAGCAGACGGTACTACAGCAGCAGCAGCAGCTGACGGTGGTACAGCAGCAGCAGCAGCAGCTGTACCACCAATAGTAGCGATGGTTGATTGGGGTTTATTATACAACCTAGCCAGCTCGGAGACACGCACTCCACTTTCATACTTATCAATGATCTTTTTCTTCATCTCTATAGTAATTCTCACCCTTACTGCTGTAGGGTTGGCACTAGAAGCTTTCTTGGGGCCCATGGTCACTTATTTTGCAGATAAAATCACCAAAAACACTAATAATACGAAATGTTCCGATTGTATGCTTGGATGTTACCGCGGAGGCTGGCTGGTAAACAATGCCACTGGCGGCACATGTGAGGCTGGCTAAGGGCGCACATTGGACGCGTCTCGGACGAACAGCGGTGAGCGGGTTTTTGAGCGGTATGCGAGGCAAAATTTTTGCGATAAAAGCGAGCGGTATGCAGATTAAACGTTATGTGATGCCAACGGTATGCGGGGGTCCACTGTATGCTTTATTATTACGCTAATATCAACACTACGGCTTTTTTTGCCTATCACAATTGATCTAATATGACACAATAAACAATATAAATAACATATAAACATGCTAAATACTCCAGAATGAATAATATTTGGCATAATACCGAACAGTTCGAAGGAGGTATGAAGAGGATATGGGATAAAAGTACCATTCTATCCCTGTCTTGGGGGCTTATATTAGAGAAAATGGAGTATAGCACAGGGCTAACTGTGATATACACTTGTGGTGCACCATAAAACTGAAACAAAAAAGCTATTTTCTCTACATTGATTATCTCACACAGCAGCATGTGTGTAAAGGACCTAGGATAATATAACCCAAAAAAGTCAGTGTGACTTATTTCTAGTACCTGGCTTGGGCTTGCCATAAATGATTTTTGGTAAATAATTTTTTTCTCAGTTGTTTGTTGGCCAATCTTATTGAAACTTGGGCAGTATGGTATGAAAGAAATTGTACCATAAATAATGGAGTTCATTTCTCAGCCATTAGCCGCCCTTTAACGGTATATTTTCATGTGGTTTTTATGGTTGTATTCTCGTTTTTTTGGTCTCGATTGATGGAATGGAAGATATATTACAGAAATGGATGTGATTTTGATTGCTTTCACGACAAAAAGTACCTTGAAATTGAGCTCAAAGTAGTGGAAATGCTCGATCCTTTGGCGATGTTCAAGAATTAACAAATGACATCACTGTCTGATACATGTCTGCCTGCCAGTCCAAATTCCAATACGCAGTCACGAATGGATTGACGTTATTTATACAATTATTACAGTAATGCAGTAGTCTGCATAACAGTAAATCTTCAATTTTTTGTGTGAATAAACATTCCAAATGGTAAACAGGAGTATTATAAGAGGGGCCTGGAGCCATGACTAATGAACAGAGAAAATGTTATTTTAGTGCCAGGAATGTCTTCATTGTTTATTCTGGACCCTATTTTGAAATTGGCGTCTTTTGAAATTTGTGTGAAATTGGCAAAATTGCCAATTTCTGACCACTTTATTAAGTAGTTGAAATAGGTGAATGGGCAGTTTCTTGTATTCATTAGAAAGAATAGAAATAAGTAAGTTTATTCAGGTATACACAAATACAGTTACAT